AATGTGGCTTTGGTGGTCGCGGAGGCAAAAACTCTGGTGTGGGAGGAGTTTGGCGAGGCCATGGAGAACGACTTCTGGACAGCTTCGAGGAGATTCTAGTCCACCATCCGGCCGCTCAGGGCAGGAAAGTGGCGCAGCATCAACACTATTTATGGTGGGGATGGTGCACTGCTGACCGCAGCTCGGGACGTTGTGGGTCGGTGGAAGGAATACCTCCTCAATTCCACCGACACGCCTTCCAATGAGGGACTTGGGGGTGGGCTCGCCTATCTCTGGGGCAGAGGTCACTGAGGTGGTTAAAAATCTCCTTGGTGGCCGAGCCCCGGGGTTGGATGAGATCCACCCGGAATTCCTCAAGACTCTGGATGTTGCAGGGCTGTCCTCGTTGAAACACATCTGCGGCATCGCATGGACATCAGGGGCAGTACCTCTGGATTGGCAGACCGGGGTGGTGGTCCCCCTCTTCAAGAAAGGGGACCAGAGGGTGTGTTCCAACTATAGGGGGATCACACTCCTCAGCCTCCCTGGTAAGATCTATTCAGGGGTCCTGGTGAGGAGGGTCTGTCGGATTATCGAATCTCGGATTCAGGAGGAGCAGTGTGGTTTTCGCCCTGGCCGTGGAACAGTAGACCAGCTCTATACTCTCGGCAGAGTCCTGGAGGGAGCGTGGGAGTTTGCCCAACCAGTCTACATGTGTTTTGTGGACTTTGAGAAGGCATTCGACCGTGTCCCTCGGGGATTCCTGTGGGGGGTGCTCCGGGAGTATAGGGTGCCAGGCTACCTTATAAGGGCTGTTTGGTCCCTGTACGACCGGTGTCAGAGCTTAGTCTGTATTGTTAGCAATAAATCAGACTCATTTCCGGTAAGGGTGGGACTCCGTCAGAGCTGCCCTTTGTCACCGATTCTGTTCATAACTTTTATGAACAGAATTTCTAGGTGCAGCCAGGGCGTTGAGGGTGTCTGGTTTGGTGACCTCAGGATTAGGGCTCTGCTTTTTGCAGATAATGTGGTTCTGTTGGCTTCATCGGACCGTGACCTTCAGGTCTCACTGGAGCAGGTCGCTGCCGAGTGTGAAGCGGCAGGGATGAGAATCAGCACCTCCAAATCTGAGACCATGGTCCTCAGCCGGAAAAGGGTAGAATGCTCTCTCCGGGTCAGGGAGGGGGTCCTTCCCCAAGTGGAGGAGTTTAAGTATCTTGGGGTCTTGTTCACAAGTGAGGGAAGGATGGAGCGGGAGATCGACAGGCGGATCGGTGCGGCGTCCGCAGTGATGTGGGCGCTGCATCGGTCTGTCATGGTGAAGAAGGAGCTGAGCCAAAAGGCAAAGCTCTCGATTTACCAGTCGATCTATGTTCCTACCCTCACCTATGGTCATGAGCTGTGGATAGTGACTGAAAGGACGAGATCGCGAATACAAGCCGCCAAAATGAGTTTCCTCCGCAGAGTGACTGGGCTCTCCCTTAGAGATAGGGTGTGAAGCTCAGTCATTCGGGAGAGACTCAGAGTAGAGCCGCTATTCCTCCCCATCGAGAGGACCCAGATGAGGTGGCTTGGGCATCTGATTAGAATGCCTCCTGGACGCCTCCCTGGTGAGGTGTTCCGGGCATGTCCCACTGGGAGGAGGCCCCGGGGAAGACCCAGGACACGCTGGAGGGACTATGTCTCTCGGCTGGCCTGGGAACGACTCGGGATTCCCCCAGAGGAGCTGGATGAAGTGGCTGGGGAGAGGGAAGTCTGGGTTTCCCTGCTTAGACTGCTGCCCCCTCAACCCGACACGGAAAAGCGGTAGAAGATTGATGGATAGATGGATGGACGGATGGATGATTGGGTAATATTACTTCTGCAGCAGTAAATGGTGTACCTGCATTATTATGATATCAAACAAATAAATAAACCACCACATATCCCCTAAAATTAGGGTTATTTAATTAAAACATTCAACCATTTGTGATCATGGCCTCTTAAAAGGCCTGGTGAATGGATTTATGTTGAGGTTAAAGTCCTGTCTTTGTAAATGGGATTAATGTTGTCAAAAGACAGAATGCCGCTGTACTTTGTGTCTGAGACGTACGCCTGAGAGCTCCTGCAAGAAGGCTGAGGTCTAGATTTAACAACCTGTCAGTATAATGGGGTAATGAGGTTCTCACATCCTTCTCTTGCCCATGTCAGGTTTAAGGGTGTTTTGGAAGTATGCAAGACCTGGACCAGGCTTCCATATCTCAGATGTGTTTTGAAGAACTTCTTCCAAGGAATGAAAATGATCGTCTATGAAAGTCATTTGCTGGAACTGAGAATGTCTTATGTGTTCTTCCACAATGCAGAACATTGACCAGCCACTGGAAATGGAGACTTGGACATAGCACAGAATTTCTCAGGCCTTGGCGCAGATGGTGAGACCTGTTTCTATCGTCTCTGGATCCACGTGGTCTCACTCCGTGCTTCATCAAAACACCAGTGTCTCTGTTTTTTCCATATGGTGTGCTCAGAAACTTGTGGCCGGATATGGATGAATCTCCAGGGACTATCTGGGCAAAAGCATCACTCTGTAGATGTCTACAGACGGTCCATTCACATATGTGCTAGTTAACCTTGCTGTGTCCGCACTCTGAAACAGGGCAACGCAATTCAGAGGACAACAAAATAACCAGTAATCAAAACAGCCAGCGGCCGGAATGAAACCGAATGTTTTAGATCTCAGGCCACATTAATCATTCACTGTTAACCTATTTATGTCAGAGACCAATTACATAATGTCCCATTTCCTGCATGTTTTATTAGGTTGCATCAAAGTTATGCTTTTCAAAGTTTATACTGTATCAACAAACTAGCTGAAAAGCTGTATATGGTCTCAAAACAACTGGAAATTACTTACTAACATGATGAAGAGAGCACAACAATAATGCTGATATAGAGAGGACAACTCAACCGCTTAACGATGAAATTCACAGCAGAGCCGAGAAGCAGACACGCTGTAAATCATGAAGTGTTTTTGGAGCCCTTTGCCAAGTATGTGTAAGATGTGGCTGTACAAAATGTTTATCTCAGTGATTCATGGAATAACATGGGTTTTTTACACTGACTTTATAACAGAAACTTTTGCAAATGTCACTTTCATGCCACGCATGGTTCAGCCTTGACATTAACGTCTCTGAAGCTATTCAAGAGACAGTATTTTCTGCTGCAAATCATGGTCCTCAGGAGACACATCTACTGTGATCCTGCCTTATGTTTCACCTGCACACATTCAGATAATATGCCCTAAGAAATTTCCGTACCCCCCGGGGTACAGTTTAAATCCCTAAATGTTTTAAATAACGTGCCAGGTACTGATGCAAATGTAACATTTCTCCCCACCTCTTCCTAGCAAAGGGGACTTAACAACTGTGAAATGGTGGATGTGACTAGGGTGACCACCTAATCCATGTCAGGAGGGACACTATGAGCTACAACAGGATTTGTAAACTACCATTTCATACATTTCAATTAAAAGGGCCAGGATTTCACTTAAGCACTGGGTTCTTGCCGTATGCTGACTGGTCAGTCTCCTATAATCATGCATATGTGTCAGTAATGTTAATGTGAAACAGCTGGATGAGTCTTTCAATCTAGGAACTAACCAAACATTTTAGCAGAGCACAGAACCCTTTCAGTTTTAATAGTAGTTCGTAAAAGCTGAAGTAGCTCATAGTGTCCCTCCTGACATGGATTAGGTGGTCACCCTAGATGTGACTTACCCAGGGGCCTCAGAAGCATTTTGAATGTGGGGGGAGGGGACACACTGGCATAAAACTAATATTTTATGTTAAATGTGGGGTGGTCCAAACAAATAATTATGAAATGTGAGGAGGACATGTCCCCCTTAGATTTAATGGTGGCGACACCCATGGACTTACCAACTGTGATCTGGTGGATGTGACTTACCAACTGTGATCTGGTGGATGTGACTTACCAACTGTGATCTGGTGGATGTGACTTACCAACTGTGATCTTGTGGATGTGACTTACCAACTGTGCCCTGGTGGATGTGACTTACCAACTGTGATCTGGTGGATGTGACTTACCAATTGTGACATGATGGGTGCAGCCTTCAATAGAGGCTGGCATGTAAAGCGCCATGGAGAAATTCTATTTTTGAAAGGCGCTATATGGAAATTCATTGAATTGCTCTGACTAGAACAGGTGGGTGGCATGGTTGTGCAGTGGTTAATACTGTTGCCTCACTCTTCTGGGTCCTGGGTTCAAGACTTGGGGTACTCTAGTTTCCCCCCACAGTCCAAAAACATGCTGATGTTAATTGGTACTGTCAAATTGCCTATAGACTCTGGAATAAGCTCCAGACCCCCTGCGACCCTCAGTGGGATAAGTGGTTACAGAAGATGGTTGAGCCAATGTCACTTGCTTCTCCTATTCTCTCTAGGGCAGTGGTATGCAAACTCTTTTTGTCATGGCCCCATACGGTTCATACATTTGTCTTCTTCCCCCACCCTCCCATCCCCCACAAACACACACACACACACACACACACTGACCCAAAATAGCCTTTACTGTGCTGCTTATCAAAGTTCGGGGGAATTTTGGACACTTAAAATCTCTATATTTCTAAAATAAAGATTGCAAATAGGCCTGCCCTCACCTCAACCCCCCACACAATTCTCTACTTTTCCCCCTCACCTGCACCCCAACAAGGGGGGCACACCCCCCAGGTTAAATACCGCTGCTGTAGGGCTCTTAGGCTGGGGTACACCTTGGATAGGATGCTAGTCTATCACAAGGCATGCACATGTACACATTTACACTACAAGCAATTCACAGACACTGGTTAACTGGATAGCACACCTTGGACTCCTACACAGAGGGAATATTTAGACTCCACAGTCACAATGTAGGCATTTTAAAATAATATTCATCATTTTTATTAAATGCATCTGTTTTACACAGTGTAACCACAGGAATGAGGGATTAGTTGAGTCCAGTTGAACAGAAGACTAAACAAGCAGGAATTTGCTCAAAGGAAGGAGCCGCTTTTATTAATGCAGGCAGGTCTGTTTACATCTGAAATTTCACTGCACCATGGGTCACTTGCTTAGGAGGCTAGAAGATGATGGTGTTTTCACTGTAATTACAGAAGTGGCTTAGAACTAATAGATGTGGATTAGAAGTGGATTAGGATTAAACACCCGCAGTAAAGTACTGTGTAAATATGCATTACACCACATTTCAGATATAGATCCCATTAGCTAAACAAAAAAAGCCATCCTTGTGAGAAGCTGATCTGTTTTGGTCACAGAAACATGTTTTATGCACGCTGTATATGTGTTTATTTGTGTCTGTGCATGCATTTATATATCTATGTTGTGCATTTTGTTACAGAGATAACCAGTAACATAGGACAAAAATGCAACCTTCAGACCCAGAACTGGAACGAGAGCCTGGGAAATATTTTCTCTCATGTTTTGCTGATTAACAGACTTTGACCCCCATGCAGTCCATTTACATATATGTACAGCTGAATAATATTGGAGACATTTTTGCACCCCTCTCTGGTGTACATCACAGTGTCCACCTGGCTGCTTGACAATCTCTTACATCACTTTAGGAGGGGCCTCAAACCCTCAGGATTGGCTGGTTTTTATTCTCAGACTTGTTGAGAGGCTGTGTCAGGAATAGGCGGCAATTACATGGGGCCCAGGGTTGACATCAGCATGGAGAATCGGGTGTTGCCGAATTAATTCACTGTTCCGCATTTTCCAAGGCGAGGCCCTGATGTCTGCTGGGGCCCTAAGGCAATGTCTGCTAACCCAGTCTTCAGGGACCCCCAGACACTCCACATTTTCGCTCTCTCCCAGGTCCCAGCCCATGTGAACCAAGCAATCGAGAACAAGCCAAACAATGAGGAACACCAAATACCTGTTAGTGGACTGGCTTGACATTGCCCTAGGTCAAGTGATTCTCAATCCGGTCTCTGAGGACCCACAGGCGGTCCATGTTTTAGCTTCCTCCAAAAATATGGACTATCTGTGGACCAGATTGTGAAACACTAACCTTGGCTATATCCTAGGAGAGCCCATGCATTAATCTGACCCAGGTGTCTGCTGGCATCGACTGTAGTGGAAAATAAGAGTTAAACAGTTAAACAGTTAGTGTCACTTTAAGAGAGTCGAGCAGACAGCAAAGTGTTTGGAAATTATGCCGTGGTCAAAGTCTGCCGAGATGGGTGGATGATTTTGCCAAGGCCTTGCATTGTGGGTGATGATGATTCAGATGTAGATGCGGTGGATCACCCGCAGACACATGACCCAGTCTGGCGGCAGCTGGTGGTGGGCCATCCTGTTGCCCTCCATCCTCAGGATCCGGAGCCTGGAGTAGTCCGTGGTCCCATCTGCTCTGCAGAAGCTGGACACGTTGAATTCTGAGGATGGGAAAAACATGCAAAACGGCCCGGAACCTGAGGATGAGCTTCCGGTACAGCAATTTTAACGATGAAAATAACAATACGAAGTTCCGTTTAGATGAAAATGCAGCAATCATCCTGCCAGATTGTACCAACTCGCACCTGATAAAACTTCACAAGTATCATGCCATCGGATGACATAGTTGGGTCAATGGGATACTGTGCTTGTGATCAGAAGGTCTTTGGTTCAAATCCCTTGGCTGGCAGAGTAATTTCACTGAGCTGAGCCCTTAAACTCCAGTTGTTCCAGGGACTGTCTGACCCTGGATTCTCAACTGTATGTCACTTTGGCTAAAAGTGCCAGTTAATTATCTAAAAAAAATGGACATGACAGGTTTGGCTAGACTAGGCAGGCATTAAAGTTGAGTGAATAAGGAAGCCACTATAATGTTGCATTTTACATCCTCAGTTAAGGCAGAGCCAAGCTTGGAGGGTAGTGGGCTGGTGGAGGAGGGATGGGGCTGTTGCTGGATGGGAGCTGGCGTGGTGGGGGGGGGGGGGGGGGGGGGGGGGGCAGCATGTGTGTGTAGGTTGCCAGGCTGCAGTTCCTCACAGGCCCCCTCCCAGCGGATGGCTGAGCTGCTGCGATCACGTCTGCTGGATCCTAACATGGAAAACAAGCGCATACTCTCTCCGCCCCCCCACCCCGCCCGTTTGAACGAGGCTCTGGAATCTACAGCTGAACTACAGGCACATAGCAGCGCTCTGGCAGGAACACGCCTCTGTCGCCTACCACGATTTACCCTTTTTTGGTTCTACTTATCCCGTCCTGAAGATCGATCTCTGAAGAGTAGTAGGAAGCTCCGACACGCACAGTCTTTCTGCAGGAGTCTTTCTGGAAGCATCTCCCACACGGCTGATTATAGACAAACACTTGTGACTGAAACGTTGCAGTACACCTGAGGCCTGGGGAGTCTTAGGTGAGGTTAAACAAAGAGTTTTTCCACTGCTGCTCTCACAGCAGTATGATGATACACCCCCATGTTTTAGTAATCCAAGTGCATCTATCTTTTAACTTGCTCGCTATAATTGTGCCGGCATTGTGGCCACCATGACTAATCGGTCTGCGCTCTTTGGGGGCAAAGGGGGAACAGAATGTGCTCTTGGCTAGAGTAGCTGCTCACAGATGTTCCCAGGCCATCTCCTCAGCGTTCACCCGCTATTTTGGAACAGGCGCCTTGAATTTCCTCTATTCATAAGCCCCACCCTCATGGAACCTCATTCATTGCACACACACACATACACACACACACACACACACACACAGGCAAACACTCACACACATGGTTTCCTGCTTCACTGAGGAGATGCATGTCTGAGAGGAGGTTGTCTACAGTTTTTCAGTGCAATCACTTTTTCCACTAATGTTCAGTCCAGAGACTTCTGGATCTAAATGATCCTCACACCTGTCATGCAAACACCCAGGGGCTCCATCCTGACCTTCTGACCCTCTGGCACTAATAATACCTCAGCCTGAAGCCATCATCTCAGGTCTGCAGCAAGATGGCTAAAGCTTCATTGTGTACGGTACAGTCACCGTGGAAACTGATTCCTGGATGGTAAAAGAAATTCTCACCCTGCGGGCTTTGGGGTGACCCTCTGTGCACCCTGATTGATGCTGTCATTGGACCCTTGAGATCAAGTGCTACCCGGGCACTGCCATCTTGCTGACCCTGCGCTCTGACCTCCAAGCTGTATAAGTCACTGTGTGTTTCATGGAGAGCAAGATGGGGTACTGTAGGCGAAAAGGGCATTTCCCTATGGAGGTGAATAAAGTATCTCTATATTCTACAATATCCAGCAGCTTACCGTGGATGAGGTTGACCTCCAGGTACAGGTACTGAAGAGTGGTTGGCACTGTGGGGGTGGAGGTCAGCTGGTTGTAGGAGAGGTCCAGCTCCACCAAGGAGCTCAGATTGAAGGCGCCTGCGGAAAGGCCTGAGCTGTGAAGCCTGTTGTATCCCAGGCGGAGGTAACGCAAACTGTGGAAGCCGTGCAGGCTTTCATCTCCCAGGGATCGCAGGGAGTTGTTGGAGAGGTACAGCTGCTGCACCGCTGGGGGCAGGTGTTTGGGGAATTCCTCCAGGTGGTTTTGACTGAGGTCCAACAGATTGAGTGAGAGTAGGCCTTGGGTGACAGAGAGAAACACAACAGTCGTTGTTCATAAATGAACTGAAACAAGCCTGGAATGGGGTCTGTTTAGCATCAACATTGGCCAGATTTCTAATGAAGTCACCCTTGGACGGACCATTTAACAGTTAAGTCACTAGACCAGGGGTGGCCAATCTTATCCGCAAAGGGCCTGTGTGTATGCAGGTTTTTGCTGCAACTCCCTAATTAGATTACTAATCAGAGGACTGATTGGCTGAAGAGTCCTCACACCTGGGTTTGAACAGCTGACCTACAGATTATCACCAAAAACCTGCATACACACCGGCCCTTTGTGGATAAGATTGGCCACCGCTGCACTAGACCATCCAGCTGTGAATAGCAAGATTAAAACTGGGAATGGATGTGCAGCAGATACCAGACCATCCATCAAGGTAACATTTCGCACCTGTGAAGTCTTCATCACCGATGACCTTCAGTTGGTTTCCTTGAAGAAGTAGCAGAGTGAGGTTCTGCAGGTTCTGGAAAGCCCGGGGTGAGATCTTCTGGATTTGGTTGTGTGCTAGCCGGAGCTGCCGGAGGCCATCGGGTAACCCAGTTGGGATTTCCGTCAAGTTGTTGTGATTCATGAACAAGATCTCCAGGTAGGAGAGCTTGGAGAAGGCCGAGTGGGCCACCTGGTCGTTGACTAGCTGGTTGTGGTCAAGGAGGAGCCAGCGCAAATGGGTGGAGTTACTGAAGGCGTTGGCACCAATATCGGAAATGTTGTTTCGCTGCAGGAAGAGGTACTGAGTCCGGGGTGGGAGGCTGGCAGGGAGCTGGTGCCTCCCCCTCTGGTCACAATATATGGCTGAGGGCCATTGGATGGGACAGTCACACTCGGCAGGGCAGACCTGCGGGTTCACGGACCTGAACCAACCGGGCTCAATCCGACCCCATAGACTCAGGACGCTGGGGTCTCCACGCAGACGGTTGATCCGGAGGGGAATCCCACCATAGTCGTAGTCTGCAGTGGTGGCCTGTGCTGGCCTGATCATCAACAGCACCAGCAGGATGGGCTTGACATCCATGAGGATGGACAGTTGGTCTGGTTCTGACTGTATGCTGGGAACCGCGGGTGATGACGACACTCGTCAAATTCTGCAAATCATGGAAAAATATATAGACAAGTGCAATTAATGTCTTAAATGTGAGATTTTACAAGTGCTTGCAAATGGTTGATTATACCCTGTGGAGATCGATTTTTCCAAATTTAATAAGAATTAATGTTCATTATTGTATCATAGTTTAATGAAACATTGCATTTAAAATATATATATATATTCTTTAACTCACTTTAATAGATTGCAAAAGTCAAAGTAAATAGTTTCTCAAAAAATGAAAGATATCTTGTTTTCGACCATAAAAATTAGTCACAATAACATCCATTAGCATCCCCAGGATATTTATTGCAGTATATTTTAATAGTATTCAATGAAAAAAAAAACTAAATATGATATCATATATAATTCTTCCCTCAATTTCAGTTAATAGATCCTTAAAGGCAGGTTAGTGCTTTATTTGCACATATAAACACGCTCCAAGCAGAATTCCACTGTGACTTGCATTCCCCCAAAGCGCATGCACTGAATAAGCTCTTTCTGCTTGCAGTGTTATCCTCATCAAAAGTGTTGGCATACCTGTTTCCACGGCCTGTGACCAAACGCGGGGAGCACACTGTCCCTGTCCTCAGCTCCCTTCTGCAGCAGCCGCCGTCTGTGCATGGGCAACCCGCCGCACTTACAGGAATGTTCCAGATCCGCCGCCCGCCAAAGGCCTGTACCTCATTGCTCTTGGTGCTTTTTCCACTTTCCCCCACCGCTCCCCCGCCCCCCCCTACCATCCTACAGCCCATACTACATCCTGAGAGCCCCGAACATTTGGTGGAAACATGTTTACCAATCTGGTTCATGAGTATTAAATTAGTAGACTTACGTTAAAGAAAACAGCAGCCCTTTTTGAATTAGGAGCCCATCAAAAGCCTGGCTGTCAGGATAAAGGTCGATCCTGTCCCCACCCATTATCTGAAATATACCCCTTTAAACGGAGTACTTTCAGGAACACATGAGTCCATCTGCATTTGATTACTTTCAAAGGAGAGATGGCTGATTACTGTTAGGAACAGGTAAATATCACTAGGTATCCATTCATTCATCTTACAAATTGTCATTGAGTTCAGGATTGTGTGAATAATACACCTGTACATATACTGGGAGAGTATGCATTGTGTCCATAAGCTGTAAACAAACTAGTTCACATTTTGTGAAATATAAGTCTGAGCAGTGACGTCAAACCTGTCAGCAGAGGGCACAGCAGGAGAAATCCATCCATCTTCCAAGCACTTATCCAGGTCAGGCTCATAGAGGGGAGCCTATCCCCAGCAGCACAGGGCGTGAGGCAGGGGTCCATCACAGGGCACGCAAACACAGGCACACACTCAAATACCCACTGAGGGCAATTTGGAGATGCCATTTAGTCTCACTGCAAGCCTATAGGAGTAAAGCAGAGTGGGCAGGACATGCAGACAAGCAAGTAATCGTTTCATTCGCTAAGTACTAATGGCGCAACCAGTTTGTTTGGGTGAAGGTGGTGTCCGATAAACCTGCTGTCAAAATTCAGCACACAAAACAATAAGGTAAAAATAAAAATAAAGGTGGAAATAGAAACAAAAATGTACAAATACTAAACAAAATAAACCATAATAAACAAACATGTAAACATTAAACCAGAAATTGAGTGCAAACAACTGTCCTTTATCCTAAGGAATATACAGTATGAGTCATACATAAGCAGTATCATCTCCAATTTCTTGTCCACTTAATGTTGCTGTGAACTCCACTGCAAAGCATGACGAATGCAAGAAATAGCCTGAAACAAGACTGAGGCGTGACTGTGCGTGATTCAGATCCAGAGCTCTGCTCATGTCCGTGCGAGGAACACACATCCCCAGCGTGCTGACACAGAGGTGCATGGCATTGTGGGAGTCTGAGCTGCACGCTTTCATCAGGCTGCTCTCGAACACAAATAATCAGGTGTGAAAAGACGGTTTCCCTGTCTTACGAGAAGCTGCAGCCTGTACCGCATTTTCTGCGGGGTGTGGCTGCCTGCTGTTAAACCTCAGTGTATCAGATTTACTGCGGTGGAAACTGCACAGCGGAAAAAAATTGCTGCAGCTTTCAAAATTAAGCCTGCGGATGTTTGTAGGTGTGTCAGCCGTGGCATTAACAAGGATGCTCGCTCTCATTGTGAATGCAAAGTCTCTCTTCACCACCACTCGAACCACACATTTGCGGGGCGGCCCTGAGGTTCGCGGCCCCCTGTTGACCATAAACAGTCATTACAGTAAATATTGGAATAAACAGGTTCCTTATCTAGGAGATGCTGATGCAGCATGTTTTGCTAACCAACAAGCTACCATAATCCGCCTTTACGTTGCATCTAGTTTTTGAAACATCTGGGGGTGCAAAATGATTTTTTTGTGTGGGGCTGCAGAAACCACAAAGCTGGTCCTGCTTATACAAACACCATTAACTCTTTTCATTTCCTGTTTCCACTGCTGAATGCTGTACTGTGCATTTCATACAATAAATTTGATTTTGATTTAAAACTCCAAACGTTTTCAGTTAAATGTCTGCCTCTTCACAGCACAGTGTCAGCAAAACACAAAACATCAACTGTACACCAGTGTACAGCCAGCACTGTAGCTCTGTGCCGTTTTATGTGAGTGTGTAAATCTGGGCTTGGCGTCACTTGGACAGAGTTACTCGTTAGCTGTGACAGGGGCCTGGGGTCAGCTTTTCTGCTGTTATGAAGCGAGAGGGCGTTATTTTTGCGGCATTACGGCAGGCTGTGTAGAGAAACGTCGGCTTCTATGGCTGAAAGCGGCGCCGTGTCAGAGAACCCTGAGAGCCAAGCAGACCCTGTGTCTGTGTGTGGGGGAATGCCCCCCCACCCAAACTCCCCGACAACACGGCTCAGCCAGTGGGGAGGCTCTGGATCCACCCCAAGTCAGTGAATTAGCTCTCGGCTTTGGAGACTCGCTGGAGGGGAGGAATATGGGGTGGAGCTAACACGTGTGGGCTTGATAATAGCGCCCCCTCACACATAAGCATGTCATGACACTCAGGCCAGTGAAGTCTCTTTGCTTCCCTGTATTATTACTGAAAAATCACAACACAAGTGCCAATCTGTTGCTGTGGTGCAGAGCAATTTATAAATTGTCATGTGACCCAAAACTCATGCTGGCCAACCTTATCCGCAAAGGGCCGGTGTGTACGCAGCTTTCTAGGTCAGCTGTTCAAACCCAGGTGTGAGGAACCTTCAGCTAATCATTCCTCTAATTAGCAATCTAATTAGGGAGTTGCAGGAAAAACCCTGGTTACCCAGCAGCCCTTTATGGATAAGATTGACCTCCCCTGCTCTAAACTAAGACATTCATTATTTAATATTCATTTTCCTGTCTGTCTCTTTCTTCATATATAAGCCCAAAATTTGAGAAAGAATATGCAAATATTGAATGTGACTTTGGTTCCTTGTGCCAGCTGTGCATAAGGCTAGATAGTTAGTTAGTTAGTTAGTTAGTTAGTTGACTCACTCCCTCTGTTATTCATGGCACATGTACAAGTAATCCCAGTAAGTGCACATTTTTCAATTTATCCACATTCTGTTGTATTTCATAAAAATATGCTTTTAAATATTTACAGTCATAAAAGTTATTTATTAATTCAAGTAATTTGTTTGGTGTTTCTCCTCCCTTATATCACAACATCACTGGAGAAACATTACGAAACACTGTAATTCCATCCTTTTCAAAAGGCTACCAATCCCAGCTGAGTGTGACCCTTTCCAATAGGAAAAAAATATTATTTCCTTTGCTATGAAAGACTAAACACTCAGATTTCAGAGATGCTCACCAAAAGATCCACCAGACAACATTAGAAGCAGTTTCTGAGTTGAAGACAGCTGACTGTCAGTTACATTCTTGAAAAAGGAACAAAACGAATAAGTTGGGCTTTCATGATCTTCTTTGGGCAAATAAAATCTCTTAAATTCTTTTTAGGAGAATTGTGAAAACTATTGCTTGTTAGCTGTTTACCAATCTCCTGGATGGTTCAGAGAGCCATTGTATTTGATATCCTACCTAAAAACAAGTGGAAAAAAAGCACCCAAACACTACGAGGGCACTTGCTGTTCTTACGTTAGCAAACTCAACAGAACATTTTATTTTTAATCATGCAGAGTTTCAGTTGATATTTCATTTTTCTGTCTGACTCACAAAGTTTTACACCAATGTCGTCGAAAGTTCAAGGCCACCGTTTCCGTGTTATGTGAGCTGGTATAAAATACATGCTCAAAAACTTGACCACGCAGTTTAAACAATGATATTCAAGCAAACAAGCAAACAAGCAAACTGCAGAACTCTTTTCTGATTGGTCTGCGTGCTGTATGTCGCCTTGATGTTTAATTGTTATGTATTATCATGTTTATTACAAGACCACAATTAATTTTAAGGGAAATCAGATGTGAAACATTAAGCTGTTGAGTGTTTCTTAACCAAACTTAAAAAATTAGCGGAACATGCATTAAAACTGATGATGTTTTGTCCTTTCAGGAAGAAGGATGTCTGTAATTACATACTGCAAAACAAAAGAATGCACATGATTAATTACTTCAGTGTGATTAATCAAAACACGGTCAAACAGTTTGAAGTTTACTCAAACTGAAGGGTTGGGGTTTTGAAAACTTTGGGCTTTGGTATGAAAGTTTTCTTAAAGTCTGGAGAGTAAGTCTGAAAAGGTACTGTAGCACATGATATTCCAGAAAACACACCCGTCTGTCTATGACTTAATGACTTTTCCATGTAAATGGAGGGAACTGAAGAAACGGCATCTTGTTACTTATGAAACGGACCTTTCAGTATGTGACCAAATGTTGCCAGGGTGCAAAATCTGACTCATTTGTCTGACCTCACAAACTCAGTCCTGAAAAATGGGGACAATATCCTGGGATTTTTTTTGCAGTTACATAGAGATCAAAATACACATCATGGACACCCACAGGGACATATGGGCAGGGGAGGAGCTGCCACATTTTGCCAGCCGAAAAGTTGTAGACTTGAATGTCAGCATTGTGCCAAATGTAAACAGCTTTCGGTAACCATGCGCTCCCACACCATATGTTACCCATTCGTCGGTTAAGGTCTGCAAAGATCTCATCCTATCCCCTCCCAGGACCCCCACACCCACCTCCCCCAAATCCCACTCTATACCCCAAGAAGGTGGGGGTGAGTTTGTAAAGGATATATTACACCCTTTCAGATATATTACACACAGTTCAGCAAGGGGTCTTGTGGTCAGTGCTGCAGATTTTTATTACTGTGGTCAACATGCATTTTATGACATTTTTAACATACAAATTCTACATTCACAGCATGGAAAATTCACACCCACTGTGGATTGTTGTTACATTTATTATCTGAATGCACTCATTTTTACGGAGAGATTAACAGGGCTGTCCTGATAGTAAAACAATGCAAACTGCTTATAAAAAAATCCATGTATAATCATAAATAAAAGATGGAGAATTAGTTTAAAAGCCTTCTAGCAAAATGGTGGAAGTGAATTCAGATGTATGTGCTGAGGCCCAGGGTGAAATCAGCCTGTTACCGATAGCAAACTGACATCTGGGAAGACAGATTTATAAATCGCTCTGGCCGTCTTCCCTGCTGCCGCTCCTGCATGAGGCATACGGAGCGTGGCGTCCCTTACATTTCATACTGCCTCACATCTGTCCAGCTGTGCAGCCGCTCGGTAACCTGGCTCACTTTGATAAGACCAGCTTCAAAAGGCTTTCACCACAAAGAGGAAATCTTAAACACATTCACTGTAATTGTTGTCATCTGCTGCAGTGAACCTTCTAGACGAAGAAAGGAACAGAAAGAATGTGTGTTTCTCCAGGGCTGCTCACGTTACGGGGGGCCGTCCGCAACCTGGAATGCGGCTGCCGCTTAAAGCTTTCCCCCCCCCCATATTATTGCTTGCAGGCCTGAGCGGTTCGGACAATGTCCCGTTATCTGCCTGAGCATTGCGGTCGACAGGAGACGGGATGAAAAAGGAGGGTCTTTCTGAATAGCAAACGCCGCATGTCAGCGGCACACTGGACATCCACACCCTGTACTATGGGAGGACTTATTAATACTGTTTCCTTGGAGGGTTTACATAAGTATCCAAATATATTTTTAGAAGCAGAATCAGTGGTATTGTCGCCGATTACATCTACATGCATGACGAACTTAGCATAGTATGTTAGTGCAATGACAAGAATTTAAACAATACAAATAACACAAAATAAGTACAGAACACTAATGACATGAGATACAAAATACAAGAATAACATGCTGAAACCTTTTTGCTGCAGTGAGTGCAAACCAGCAGTAGAGAGTCTGCGTTGTAAATGGTTATGTTGTAATGGCAACACGAGACTAGGTACTAACTAACTGGCTCTCGTCAATTTCAGTAGGTGATTCACTTTAATTAGAGCCCAAATATTGGAGGCCCAGTTATGTGCAGGACATGCAGGAAACGGGGACCCGCAGAGCTCCTCTTAGCTAGCGCGCTTTTCAGCTGGGGGGTCGAGGGTCTTGGCACTTGTGGTGCGATGGGAGAGACATCTGCTTCATCTTAAGAGACCCCCAAGTCGACCCCGATGGTTAACAATGGAGCCAGTGTGCGGATGCACCTAAAGACAGTGTGAAGGAGAAAGCAACTGCGGCGCTGCCCCCTGTTGGTCACACATGATACACGGCACTATCCCTTTGAAATCACTGAGCGTTGTGATAGAAATGCCTATGAAATGCTTATTAAAATAAAAAACAATAAAATGAGCCAATAGCAATCGAGATACATCAGCACGTAGAGACCTCTGGGGCTGTTAATTAGAAAGCACTTCAGAGCCGTCCGCTGCGGGGGGGCCAACAGCACCATAAAGAAGCAGCACGGTGCAGTTTGCCTGCAGCCCTTTCAGGCCAGATACGGCGACAGGATGTGTGCAGTTCCCACATGTGTACGCAGTGTGAGCTGGCAGCCTGTGCCACTGTAACTGATTTCCTGTACAGTGTCCAGCAAAGACTGTAGAAGAAGTTTCCTTTATGAATGAGAAAGCCTGATATTTACTTTAAAAGTGCTTAATAAATGTAATACATTCTTGGGCTATCGTACCATATAAGGATATAATACAGTAATAGGACATAATGCAGTACAGTATACCTGAAGGTATTGGAAGTTTAATTTGTTGAAAACATAATTATGAAATAGTTTCTGTCATTTTTATTTTTTGATATTCCTTTTTTTTTTTTTAACCAGGGAATTACCACTAATAAGAAGCCCTCAGAATCTAAAATGTTCATGAGGGCACCTCAGGTCACATGTGCATTCAGCCGTAGAAAATCATCTTACCAGCTTAATGAAAACAGTGAAATAAGAGTTTGGACAGAAGAGCAGGGAGGACATTCCTCAAACTCAGAGCAGAGCCTAGATCAGGACTCGATTTGATTTAAACCAAGCACCTGGTTTTGCCACATGTATAAAATGGCTTTTAAAAAGGTTAGTGAACATCACAGACTTTGAAATGGCGCCCAGCTAATGCTGTCAATATCAGTAACTTGCTGACCATTGACACAATGGAATCCATTTCTGAGAAATGAAAGCTGAAGTTGAAAACCTTCCCCAATATCCCGCAATTCTCTGGTAAACAGAGCAGCTCTGTCTGTGAGACAGTCCTCGCTAAGCTGAGAAACAGGGCCCCTGCTTTCTCCAAGGTATTTCCATCACCTTGCTTTGGAAATTTAGTCAGAGGAGTTTGAGTGCAGACACAGGGATAGTGTCTTAAATTCCTTCTGCCCCAGTTCATTTGAGACCTGAGAAAGAAATATTTCCAGGTGCTTTGACCTCGACATTGAAAACAAGCCTCTGTGCTTCTAAAAAGCATACCAAGAATTCTGAGGGTGCCTCAGAGATTCTGAAGTTCAACAATAGTGATGTTTATCTGCTTTGCATAAAATACCTGTAAATTTAGTTCATACCCCCTCTAGGAGCTGTCATTGGATCCAGTTTGCTGTGTGATTCGTGTGACAGCAGGCCAGGAAATGTGAAGTGCTTCCTGATGTTGATGAAGCCATCCTCTAGTGAATGGAGCTTCCTACCAACAAGATCTCACAGCAGGAGACTTATGAGCTCAAGTGGAAAAACAGATTTTTTTTTTTTGTCCACATTTTACACCAGACAAATTTAGTCTAAAAAGAAACATTGTTTTCTTTAGTTTGGCTTAAAAATAGTTGTGCAATTGTGTGTGAAAAGGAATTCTAGACTGCACTATGATAATTTATGTTTTTCACAGTTTACATACAACACAATATTATTGAATTATTTCAAACTGATTAACTGTGTCTGCAGCTTTGTGTTGACAAATGTACACAGGCTGAATTCTTTAGTTTATGTTTCATGTACCCTGTTATTAATTCTTTAGCATTGAGGTATGTCTCATCTGGAAAGCTGAAAAATATGAAAGGTTTCAGTTACTCTGTATTATTTGTATGATTTTTCACACCGCTTCTGCTGCATTGAGTTCCCCACTCGGGCAGTGTGGGCCAGTTTAGAACCAGCCGGACAAATAACATAAGGTGTGAATGCTCCGCCATTGCGTAAACTGGGCTGCCTCTTGCAGACTGGTCGGTGACATCAGATAATTATCAGTGTTACACACCCCTACAAAGCAATTCACAGAGCTTACAGCTATGCCCTCTGTCTGGTTTTTTTTGAGAAAGGATTAAGGATGTAATCCTTCCTGGGCCTGTTTTCTGCACTCTTCTGGTTTTTGCTTCATCTCAGTGGCCACTGTAATGCCTGGCATTTGGAAAGGACAGGATAGTGGGTGACATGGACCTAAGCCACTTTGGACCAGCCCATTCCAGACTGAGAGACCAGTTGCTCCATTCCCGGTTATAAAACTTATAATAATGAAATAAACTCAGTTGGAGAGATAATTATATTGTGTTAATTGAAAGAAAATCCTGGGTGTTTTTTCTATTATAAAACAAGCAGGCTTATTACCTTTTTTCTACAAGTGCAATCATTGAGAAGCATTTGCCAACCATTATTAATGTTTCCATGGAAATTTATTTCAGAAAAATATGAGTGGGTAAACTGAATTGGTCACACACCAAATGGGGAAAAATTACTCAAATAATTTGGAAAATGTGCGATACATAAATACTGGTATCCATAATACACAAGATTAAAATACAGGAATCGGCATTGATAACCAAAACAGATGCCCAACGATTTGCGGCATGAGACATAAATTGTGTTTCGTCACCAGTGTAAAAACCTGCCTGGTGGCAGACAGGCAGGGATCTAACCCCAAAGGGCAGCACCCTGACACTCAGATAATGAGCAGGCTCCTGAGAAACTCGGAGCCCCGTACGGAGCAGACATCTGCAACATGTTCTACACATGGCATCCATACCGGAATGGCCCGTGGAGGTATCTCTGTGTGGGAACCCCAAGCTAATGAACACTGGGCCCATGATGGAGCTGGGGGGGTCGGGGGGGTTGGGAGGGCGTGCTGTAATTGGACAAACTACTGGAGGGGGATGGAGGAAACAGCCAAGGGGGAGGTATTTACAAAGTGTTTGCCAGACACAACTGCCCAGTGCAAGCGAGCTATAGCCCTGTGAGACTGGCACGGAAAGGGGCTGCCTTCCTCCTCAGGTTGGTGAGCTTTCTGAGAAAAGAACTGGGACTGGGTAACACAGAAGGGGCCTTTGAGAGGATGCTGATTCGAAAGAGAAGCTTTTGCATGCATGTGCATTAATGTGTGTTCATTCATTCCCGTTTGCCCTCTCGTTTCATTGCGCTAGGAGCCTTCACATTGCATGTATTCACAGCCGTGTGTTTCCGCTTATTCATGTTTCCAGCTTCCTTGTTGAATTTCTACCAGGCCAGCTCTTGTTTTCCTGTCTTCTAACATAAAGACCCCTACAGTAAGTATAGGAAAGAAATCCTGAGGAAGAGTGGGTGGAGGTTCCTGACGAGGCTGTCTCTGTTGCAGTTGCTGCGGTCCTGTTCCATCTTTCCCATTATACTGACCATGCGGCTTCTCGTGGTCTTCTTGGTGGCCCTCTTTGGCCTGGCATGCTGCCAGGGGCAGGACCCCTTCTTCTGGCTGATGGCCCTGCGCAGCCGGGGTTACGGCCCCGGGGCACTGCAGGCGGACACCACGGGAGGAGACTGTCCGGCAGTTTGTGACTGTCCACCCAGTTTCCCCGTGGCCATGTATTGCGATGACCGTGGCCTTCAGGAGGTCCCTTACGTGCCATCGCGCATGAAGTATGTCTACCTGCAGTACAACAAGATTACAAGAATCAGGGATGACGCTTTCAGCAATGCCACTCGGCTCATTTGGGTCATGCTGCACCGCAATCAGCTCAGATCGGACCAGATTAGCAAGAAAGCTTTTGCTAATTTGAACAGCTTGGAGCGGCTCTACCTGGACCACAACAATCTGACCCAGGTGCCAGTAAATTTGCCTGTTTCTATCAGAGACCTCCGGCTGAACAATAACAAGATTTCCAAGATTGAGACGAGCTCCTTTAAAGGAATGGACAACCTCACAGTGCTGTATCTTCACGCCAATGAGATCCAAGATGTTGGCGGGGTCTTGAAGGATCTCACCTCACTGACCCTTCTGGACCTCAGCAACAACCACCTGAAGAAAGTCCCACAGGAGCTACCCAAGATGCTGCATCAGCTCTACATGGAGTCCAACAGCATTGACACTGTGCCCGCCAACTTCCTCAGTGACTTTTCCCAGCTACAGTATGTCCGGATGTCCCATAATGCACTGACAGACCGTGGAATCCCTCCCAACACCTTCAATGTCAGTGGCCTGGTGGAGCTGGACCTGTCCTTCAACAAGCTGGAGAAGATCCCCCCAGTCAGCGCCAGCTTGGAGCACCTCTACCTGCAGGCCAATCACATCAAAGGTACCTCCATCCACTCCCTCTCCTTACTCCTGTTCTAACAGCTGAAAGAAGGTAGTGGGAAAAAACATCTCACAAATTCTGTGGCATGACTACATCTACCGCTAGTGCTTGAATATCTCATACGTGTATCAGTGAGTTAACTGGTAAGGCTGTTTTACATGGTTGACATGAAGTAGTTTAGATAGTTTGTATTATTTTAGCAAATATGTAATAAATACATGTAGCATTACTTTAAGCTAGAAATAATGTAATGCTGACTCAGGTCTGAAAACTGTAAAGAGCATTGCATCTAGTGTTGCATCTAATTCATTAGAAACCAGCACACACGCACACACACCCATGAAATATACACCAGTAGACTTTTTGATCTTTGAAAGCAGCTCTTCTATGGTGTTTGTGCGATCATATTACCCCTATGTTCATTAATCTGCCTCATTTCATTCATTTAGCAGCGGTAAAAATAATACTGCCATAGCTTTCTCAAGTGTAGAAAAACTGAAGTATTTCCAGTTTTTACAGGCATTTCCAAGTAATGCAGCAATGCTTCAGCTCTACTTGGAGGGTGCGCATTGCAGCAGTCTGTATGCGCATTGCAGCAGTCTGTATGCACATTGCAGCAGTCTGTATGCGCATTGCAGCAGTCTGCACATCACATAACCGGATAAGCAATTTATGGAATTGGCTAATACATTTAATTATTTTATGTTAACCCAAAACTGTGCCCTTAAAAATCATCATCATATAGTAGTAAATAACGCTTAAATATGTTGTTTTTAAAGTTAATCATAAAATAGTAAATAGTGAATACAAGCAATCATTTTTCTCATATATATACTGTATACACACACACACACACACACAAATATATATTAACATAAATATATATGTACAAATATATGTGTGTGTGTGCGTGTGTCTGTATATACATATATATTTGTGTGTATGTGTGTGTATGTATATACATATATATGTGTGTGTGTGGTTATATACTATTCAGCATAGTAACTGATGGCTGTGCTTGGTCCCAGAGTTCTCCCTGAGCAGCTTCTGCAGCGTGGTGGACATCATGAACTTCTCCAGGCTGCGGGTCCTGAGACTGGGAGGAAATGAGATCAGCCTGCATGATATGCCCTCTGAAACGGGCCTGTGCCTACGGCGAGCCTCCACCATCGAGATTTAACGAGCCCCCAGCTGGGGACACAGCAGAAAGCAGCATTCCTCCCCCCTCATACGCTAAAACGGCGCACAGCGTCCGTGGCGCTGCCTGAATGTGACATTTTTAATGTAACTATACAAGCTATAAAACAAGTTTCCCACCATCAATTTGCACATCTTAAACAAGAATGTGAGGAATACATTCTCAACTCAGATTTTACCTCTTAATGAGTAACATTAGCCTACAAGATGAAATATATTATAGCTGTTACTGCAGACTGTTTCATTAAACACTTTAATAAGGACTGCTGTTGGTCAAAGCTACCCCTTACAAATCCGAAGAGCGTTACTTCAAATTGCACAAATCACCAAGTGAGAGAGAGAGAAAGACAGAGAAAGAGAAGAGTGAGAGAGAGAGACTCTCTTGAATAGGCAAGCCGCAGGTACAGGATCTTATAGTCTTATAGACACATAAAACCCCAAACTCTGGAGGTACATGACAACAGTGCTGCCCACTAGACCAAAATGCCAATCCACGCACATCTACATCACATTTACTATTTGGGAATTTAAGTTAGAATTAAAATGCTGTGAATATTTATTTAAAAAGAAATACAATCATTTATTCATATCTTTATGCCTTAAAAAACAGTAACATGTATGTCTGCCTTTTTGAAGTATGAAATGTATTAATCATGAACTAGCTTGTATTAAGGATTAGAGCAATGTATATGTGAGTTTTGTTTATGTAATGCATGTTAGATACATTTTTTAAAACCAGCCTGTTGGTCAGAATTGATAGTTTCACTATTGTCCTTTGAACCTGTTATTTTGATTAAGGTTAACATTTTTCTCATGATATAAATGCATTGTAGTAATTATTCTAACTAAAAGAAAATGAGAATGCATGTTTTAGGATGTTTTTAAGGCTACAGAGTACCACTCTTTCGAATGAATAAAAATATGACATTCTCAAACAATACTATAGAGGGGATGTTTTGATTGAGGGGGGGTTGGTAGCATGTTTGCTGCATGTGCTATGATAGGTGAGCATTTGATAGGCAGTGTGCCAGCTGTCAGGGATTTACAGTTTGGCTCTTTAAGGTTAGAAAGACAAACAGTAGTTTTGTGACTTGCTTGGTTCACCTGTCTATTCTCTGCAGAGTGCCAATGAAATCACCCATTTCCGTCATGAAGAATCTGGTTTTTCTACATCCATCGAATTACTTAGGGTTTTAAATTCCTTTCTGCTTCTTGCAGGAGTGCCTAATGCTCTACTCACGAAATGACAAGTTAAAGTCTTCTTTAACTTCCTGATACTATAGAGAAAATTTCCTTTGAATAGGTGTTGTCTTCTTATAGAAGAATGTGGCAATGTCATTAGCAGTCAGGGCAGTGTGAGGAAGGTGAGGACTGGAGAATAGTTTGCATGTGTCTGGGGAGGTGGAGATCTTGTCATGATAGTAGCTGGTTTTAGCAGCAGTGATTTTGGAAGACAAGGATATGGGATTCATAGGCAGGAAGATCCATAACATCATATGTCAGCAGCACAATGTATAAAATCATGCAGATACAGGTCAGGAGCTTCAGTTAATGTTCACATCAATCACCAGAATGGGGAAGAAAGGTGATTTAAGTGACTTTGAACCTGGCATGGCTGCTGGTGCCAGACAGGCTGGTATGAATATTTCAGATACTGCTGATGTACTAGGGTTTTCACACACAACCATCTCTACAGTTAACAAAAGAATGGACTGGAAAAGAAATAACATCCAGTGAGCAGTGGTTCTCTGGGTGAAAATGCCATGTTGATGGCAGAGGTCAGAGAAGAATGACCAGACTGGTTCAAGCTGATAGAAAGACAACAGTAACTCAAATAACCACTCATTGCAACCAATGTATGCAGAAAAGCATCTCTGAATGCACAACACATTGAACCTTGAAGCAGATGGGCTACAGCAGTAGAAGATCACACCAGGTGCTACTCCTGTCAGCTAAGAACAGGAAACTCAGGCTACAGTAGATGCAGGATCACCAAAAGTGGACACTGAAAGATTGGGAAAATGTCACCTAGTCAGATAAGTCTCATTTTTTGTTGTGACATTCAGATGATAGGGTCAGAATTTGGCATTAACAACATGAAAGCATGGATCCATCGTGCCATATATAAACAATTCAGGCTGCTGCTGGTGATGTAATGGTTTGGGGGATATTTTCTTGGCACACGTTGGGGCCCTTAGTACCAACTGAGCATCATTTAAGTGCCACAGCCTACCTGAGTATTGTTGTTGTCCATGTGCATCCCTTTATGACCATAGTGTACCCAGCTTCTAATGGCTGGCTTGTTGAACATGACAATGAGCTCATTGTACTCAAATGGTCACCAGATCTCAATCCAATAGAGCCCCTTTGGGATGTGGTGGAACGGGAGATTCGCATCACGAAGGTGCAGCCGACAAATCTGCTGTAACTGCGTGATGATATCATATAAACATGAACCAAAGTCTCTGCGGAATGTTCCAAGCACCTTGTTGAATCTACAGTATGCCACGAAGAAATAAGGCAAAAGGGGGTCCAAACCAATACTAGCAAGGTGTATCTAAAAAGTGGCCAGTGAGTGAGTGGTGTGTGGGTCAGATCAATGCCCATAATTGGAAGGGCACTCATGCAAATCCCAGGGTCTTCAGAGTGATTTTGTCACTGAGCTCTTGGACAAGGCCCCTAACCACCAGCTTCCCCAGGGGTTGGTTAGCATCTGTTACATGAGCAAAATGTAACTATATATCATTGGAGAGCCAGGTTAGAGGGTACTGAGTGTTCTGGTCTGCAGGGGAGGGAACAGAGGACAAAGGTTTGAGTGAATTAAATAAGTAGTGATCAGAGACATGGGTTACTGCATTGAGCAAAGAGAGACCAGGCAGCTGCTGAAAATGAGCAATCCTGTCCCCAGTTGACCACATGTGGGAGAAAGAGGTGATGATGGACCAGACAGCAGATATCCTCAGGATAGCCTCAGAGTAATGAGAGGGTGGCCAAGGCTGGGATGAAGTCAGCCTTGTTGTCTGTATACTGGCCGTTCCATAGTCATGCTTTTCCTCTTGGATCACTTGACGAAGGGCGTGGTCTAAGGTGTTATGATGCTTAAGGCATACGGATTACAAAAGCTTGTTTTGTCATGGAATCTGGGGAGGAACGGTTGCCTAAACCACCTGATCCCTTTGTGTCACGGGCTAAAAGAGTTCAGGTAGCACAGCTGAAGGTTAAATGCAAATTGCCAGGTTCACACTGACGGAGCAATTGTGACCAATTTGTTGTGTCTACACAAACAGGTGATATAAAAGCCCTATGAGTTAAACAACCTTACTAGCGCAAGTAGCTGAACTGTGTAACATTAAACCACCCTGAAACTGGCTCCAGAAAATTCTGAGAACAAAGAATCAGTATTGTTCAGCCTTAGGATTAGTCTTTTCAAGAAAGATCGCAACAGAGGAGCTATATATATGGGTTCCAATCCCACCCTTACATCATGTTATGAAAGGAGGCATTGGAACGCATCTGGGATGTCTCGGTCAGCCTGAAGCCTCATGGTGAAACGTGCTATGCACACGCAAGCACTGTCTAGAAGCACAATTCAGCAACCAGTGTAAACTGCACAAAAAAAGGAGCTGTTGTGCGCTAACAGTAGATTTATGCACTTAAACCAGCCAAATTTGAGTTTGAATTCACTGTTTTTCATCGTGAGTAAGGTTGTCTTAGCTTGCTTTTCATACTGCCTGAGGTGTGAGAATAACCACCTCTGTCTGTTCTCGTGTCTTGAGCTTTCATGTGCTGTTTAGCCCAGTGTTTCCCAACCCAGTCCTCAGGGAACCGTCCAGCCGTCCAGCAGACTAACAGCCCAGTGGAAGCCAAACACGCTCGCCCTGGAGGCATGGAGGTTAAATGGATCACCAGCCCTTTTCCTTCGAAAGAAAAATTAGTTTTTCAGTTAGAGCAACTTGAGAGTTTTGAAATGAGTCTGTAGAAATGAAGGGTGGACAGAGGTAAATAATTCTACTTAGCAACAGAGAACTCTGTGGACCATTTTGTTTATGTTTGGGGGGATGCTTGAAATTAAAATGTTTAAACCCTTAACTGTGACAAAATGCTAAATGGTTTACCTGAAAGCATACCGACGATCTTCTTCTAACCCCATGTTTGTGATCTGCCTTTGAAATGCATCTACGCCATCTACTGGTAAATCAAATATCTGTAGGTAACCCATACAAAGCTGAAAAACAAAGCAATCATGAAGCACCAACATTTGTCACCATTTTAAATAAAGTGCAGGAAGGTCAGCACCTCATATTAGTTTACATTAGTTTTGACCTGAATCTGAATCTTGAAAAATATTTGATTAGGGTTCGGAAATGCATCAACATCAAACTGATAAGTGCTCTCTGCAGATGTGGGTTGCCACTGGTCACATTGTGGGATTTGAACTGATAAAAATAAAAATAAAGGATGGAGAGGGAAAAACAAGCTGAGAGATTACAGAGATAGAAACAAAGTGGACAGAAAGAATAGACAGGGTGTTTTGTTCTGCAGTGTGACTGTCACAGATTGGATCATTACCACATGGTATGTTTATGAAATGCTGGCAAAGTCACATTATATTATCAACAGAATCATGAGCGTAGTTGCTGATGATTGAATTTACCTGACAAATTTAGGCTAAACCATCTTATGTCAATCTTATAATATTTGTACTTGCATTGGCTGCTGAGTGGGGAGATGACACTGGGAGGTATTAGGGCTAGTTACAGCCTTTTCTTCCTGCTGCATTTGTGAAAGTGAGGTGACTGTACCATTTTACTTTTGTGATGGGGGTGTTTAATGGGGGGGGGGGGGGATGTCTGATAGGCAAAACCAAATTGGTATGGGGATTATTGTATGTTATAATGAAAATTGATATTTTAGTCTTCTGTAGGTTTTATTAATACATTTAAATAAAATAGTATTTTGGAACTGCACATTTTAGAATTGCTAATAAGGAGTATTTTGTATTAAGAGTGTTAATTGTTTGTTGGGTCACTTGGTCCAAGGGGTGGGGCTCAAGTCTATAAAGAGCCTGTGGAGGCCCACTGGGGTGAGGAGTGTAGTACCTTGTGTATGTTGTTACTGGTGCAGGGTCGACAAGACACAGCCTGCTGGGATGATTATTTCTGGTTCACTTTTGCACCTTTCCAGGAAGACTGAATAAAAAATACCCACTCACACACCTTTGTTGCCAGTGGTTTTCAGAGCCTCTGACCTTTAAGCCATTTGTAACAGCCATTTTGTGATCCTGAAATTCAGTCAATGCATGTGTCTGACAGTTAGGTTTCGTTCAGTATTACTCTCGTGTTTGCCTTACGGGGATTATGTTCATAATGGCAAAAAAGCAAACCTTAAATTGAAAAGGCAGGTAAACTGAAAATGTGTTAGTAGCAAATATCTATATAGTGATGACTGATGACTGTGAGTGAGATTATAGGTGAGATTCTATCCCCCCCCCCCCTCCCCCCAGATCCATCATGCCCTTGAGCAGCAGAAAACAAATGTTCACAATTTTGTCTTTTATATAGAAAACATTTCAGTAGCACAGACCTGCTAACTAGCTAGCTCGCGTCTGTGTCACAAGAACAGTGGGGACCCACGTAAAACAATGCTGATGGTTATAAGATGGCAATTATGCCATAGGCAAATATGCATGCTTGCATATGTTTATCTGTGGATCCGGAGAAGGTGCAGTGCGTGGTGCTGAATGAGCAGCGACTCATATGCAGAAAAAGCGAGGCGGTGTCACTGCTCAAAGGCGACGAGGGCAAATCGTTTGCGGTTGGAGGTGTGGGCGCGAAGTCATTTTCTGCTATTCAAACCGATGTCAAACTGACATGCTCCTCCGTGTTTTTAATGTGCTAACGCGGGCAAGTGGCTGCGGCTCAGCGGTATTTGGCAGAAATATCGGTGCTTAGGAATTAAAGACAGCAGTGGCGTGCACAGACATTTTGGGGGGCAAGTGCTCCAGGGGGAAAAAAGGGCACTTTTTGCATATGTGGAAAACCTTTTCTTTTTATAATAAAAAAAACGCACAGGTTAAATGCAATTTGACTTTTATTTCAAAACATTCTCTAAAAATAGACCAAAA